AACTTACGGGCCGGCTTAGTCCTAGGTGCTTTTAGAATATTAGTATGTTCCACAAATAGTTGTCTAGAGTCTGGGTGTTTTTTGCGTCCGTTGTCTCAAAGTTAATAGAATTAAAAAAAAAACCTTTTTAAAAAGTCCGTATAGTTTTAAAAATAGAACAGCTTTGTCAGCCAGTATCAGCGGCACACTCAGCCCACCCCAGGCATAGTTCATTCCGACCAATCAAATCGACTCCCGCGCATCGATCCCTCTTTCCGGTGGGTCGTTACAGGCGCTCATAAATTCTTTCTAAACCTGACAGCTCCGTGGTTCACATGTATACCCATCATGTAGTCCATGCCATGTCAGTTTTCAACCTCACAATCGACACAGCATGTGTGGAGTCACCACGCATCGAACAGCCGCCATTTTATAATATCTGATTTTAGTGTTTGGATCCATTGACGACGCAATAGTGTTGTGTGTTGTGTTGTGTAGTGTATATGTGATGGTTGTGTGTTTGTGTGAGTATTTTTTTATTTTGTTCTTTTTTTTTAAGCAGCTGGATAGTTTCGGGGATAATATTTTGTGTTTTTAAAGTTGAAAATATGTGCTGTGGATAAGTTTTCTATCATGTATTTTTGTTTTTTGTGAAGATAGCTTAATTTTAGAAAATATTATTATTATTCTAGTTAAATCAAAAAGGCTAATATTTATACTTTCTATTACCCGGAAACGGATACTAAAGATCTTTAATAATAGTAATGATCTTTTGATAAATTCAGTCGGAGTCGGTTAGCGACTACAAAAAAATAGCTAGCTTCTCAATCATCATTTTCATCATCAACAGCCCTTAGTAGTCCACTACTGGACATAGGCATCTCCTTAGAAAGGAGGTTTTCGTCTACTATACCATGCTGGCTAGACGGGTTGGAATAGGGTTTGTTTCAAGTTTGCCTTCTCTTTGTCGTGCTGCTGTCCTGCGTACTTTGCTCCGTTAGTCGGTTTTTACGACACCCATGAGATAAATAAGGGTGGTAACACTAGATATTCTTAATCCAGTCACCACACGGACGTCTCATGCACTCATAAATAAGAAAATCGAACATGAGCAGATCTGGAACAATGAGTCTATATAACAATTGACACATATTTCGCTGGGATCTCATAAGAGATAGGTCGAGGTGTATTAAACTGCCGAAGTTTTACCGACTTTATAATAGTCCTACTAGGAGTCCTCGTCCTATTCAAGCATATCGGAAAAGTAAGGTAGGACTTTAATAGAATGAAAGGGATGTTGCTTATAGGAATAGTTATCAATAAGGTGAAGAGGTACAAAATTGCATTGCAGGGCAAAGCCCGAGTTCTCTCACAAAAAGCTATATAGAAATTGCTTTCAAATCAAAATATTTTGACTGAAGACCCCTCTCTGGGCCACTCCTTAGAAAGGAGTTTTTGGACTATAAGGTGATCGTGTTAATTCTCGTATGCATCCGTAATAATGTATTATGGATGGTGAAAGTTTAAAAATTAGTACATTTTAAACAAAAAATCATCAATTTCATTGATCTTTAAACATACGCAATTATAAGACGTTGTATTCCTCATTTATTAATTTCATCCATTTTATTAATTTTCATCCTTTTATTCATTTTCATCCTTTTCCTCAATTTACCATCCTTTAGAGGTTGAAAATTTCATGATATCCAAAGAGGGCTAACCTCGAACATAACTATTTCTATTTAAAAGAATAATTGAACACGGATCTCATATAGCAAAGTATCACAAAAATCCAGCTTCTCAAAGTCAGTTCTAATTACCACTGCGTTGTGCTTTGGTAAACTCTGAATATTTTTTCATTTCAAACATACGAAATAGCGTATCACGTTTATATTTTATTTTATTTTACGACAATATTTTATTGACGGATCCAGAATTTCGTAAACTAATGATTTTGAAAGATATCTAGGTTAATTTGTTGACAGCAATGACAAATCATTTGTGACAGCTAGCTGTCATTGGTATGCCTATGCCTATAATGCAAACTACACACTGAAATAAATTTAATCCCTACCATGAGATACACAAGGCGGTACAAAAGTTCCATACATGCCATTGTCCTTTACCGACTAGGATCGATTAGGACACGGTCACAAAACAATACTCGTGTATTTCCTTTTAAGCTTAGAGTAACTTGAAATAGTTTAGTCAAGTTTCAAGAAACACAAATTTCTTTCTTTTCGTCATCATCCATCCATCTAGCCACAGCCGTTAATAGGTTTCAAAATACTTTACCACGCTGCCAGCTAAAAACCTCGTCCACGGGTTCGTAATGTGCATTTGAGATTGATATTATTTCAGATATTGATATTATTTTTAAATTCAGTTACTTCCTTTTAAGTTACTTCTCAAAATAGATTACCAATCGAATCCGTTACCTGCATAGAAATCTATTTTAGGATTTATACATCTACTTGTTTGCTAATAGATAGAGGTCGTTCGTTTGTGAGTTCCTCTTAACAGCTTGTTGTTATTCTATCAGGCAAATTGGCATCGGCCTGTGGGGATACATTTCAAAGGGGCATGCTATTAAAAGTGATACTAACTTTGAATCAAATATCAAAAACTCAAAATATATTCATTTCGAGTTTGAGTTTTTATAGCATATATAGTAACAAAAATCTGTTTTGACATATATTTAGCAAAATAAATATATATGTTAAAATCTGTCTGCCATCTGTCATCTGCAGTATTTCCGGACCGACATGACCTGACTTTCAAACCTTCAAGAAAAGAGCATACTCCTTCCTTAAAGGCCGGCCACACGTTTGTGACTCCTGAGTTAAGGGTGTTCATCGGCGGCGGTAGTCACTTTCCATCAGGTGACCGTCTGTTCGTTTGCCCCCCCCCCCCCTCATCCATAAAAAAGTCTGCCTTATTGCCTTGCATTATATGCCTGTGCCGATCTACAACCGTCCGTTTCCAAGGGTTGAGCCTTATGAGTAGAAAGGGCAAACAATCTCACGGCAACCAAAAATTGCGTTTGAAGTCACTTTTATTTTACAGGCTAAATATTTCCGTAGAGTCGAAACAAACTTGTGTCTGAAATTGAAACTTTCTCGGCGGAAGTTGGTTTGCGCGGTCACAGCAAAAAAGATACCGGTCGTCGTATCGCCTCCTTTTGAGAGCACCTCCCTAACTGCCTCAGCCAGGATCGAAATCCTAGGCATTCTAGGCTATCGAGCGAGGTCTTAGAGGGTGACTTAGAGGGTAAGGTGAAATTGCCTTGAAGAAGCTCGGTGTGCTGAACAGGACACCTGTATTGATATAATCCACATTTACGTGAAATAGTAAGTAATCACGATATTTGAGAACATCTATTTGAGAGAAAAAAAAAACAAATTACAAATTCCGAAAGTAAGTAAAAAGTCGATTTTATTCTATGAATAAGGATATATGTTTACTCAATGGATCTATACCATTAGATGAAACCGCTTGGAGTAACATAAAAAGCTAATTTGCAATAAAATATGCATATGTGTGGATATGGAGAGAGAGCGAAGGGTGGGAAGGGTTTTTATGATAAAACTACGTAAAGCAGACTCAACACACCGTCACTGTATCAAGAAGGATCTCCATAAAGAGACACATAGGAGTATTGATTTGTTGACGTAACTGAACATATATTTTTGTTTTCCTGATTTTTTATTAAAACCACAGTGGCAAAGTGGTGTTCACTTCTCTATATTCCTGGGTTATTGTTTCAAACAAGCACACAACAACAACAAGCCTAGGTTACCCTCGTTACTGAATCAAGTACGTAGATATGCTATCGCTACATTAGTTTCAGTATTTATTTTAACTTAATTAAAAAAGTTTTGGGAGGTGCGAGTTTTCTACAAGCCGTAAAATAAATACGCTTCTGTGGTTTGTTTCGGCGTCTCTTCCCAGAATGGGTCTTAGAAAATACAAGCTCCATTTAGGTGTAAAGTACGACTTGGAAAAATTTCTAAAAAGATTTACTTACAGAAATAAATATCATTTATTTATCATTTATCAATTTATATCTGCCCATTACTGTCATAATGTTTTATGATGGCAATTTAAATGATCAAAGTTTTCGTAATTTGTATTTAAGACAAGTACAATTCCTAAAGTTGTATTTTTTGTGTTCACAACAAAAAATACTTTCACATTCCAAAGCTTTGCTTCTCACATTCCGAGGTAACGATCCCAAGTGCCATCACTTACTCTTACAATTTGTTATTACATTTACCCATTGCTTACAATTTAAATCATCATCTTCTTCCTAGCCATTTCCCATATTTATTGGGATCAGTGCAATATTTTTTTACGTCAATTCTTCTTGATTCGACATCTTCTTTCACGCATTCCTTCATTTCACAACGAAATGGTTTATTTGTTTGGTTAAATATTTAATTTGTGTGTAATTTAAGTTTTAAGTGCACAAATATTCTTATCGAACTAGTTCTATATTTATAATAGTTTATCATCATTAAGGTCTTCTCAACTGCTGCGCTACTACTCTGAGTATTGTGGGTTCGATCCCCACATGGGACAACACTTTGTGTTATCCACAAGTTGCAGGTCTTTAGACAGGTGTTCTTTGTGTCAGTTTCATAATGTGTGTAAATGTGTGTAAGTTTCATAAGTGTGTGTATCCGCGACAGAGGATATATTCCTAGTAAGGGAGTTGTCTTTTTAAAATAAAAGGTAAGAGGTGTTCCAGATGGAACAGAATTTTCTGCTTTATTTTTTTAAAGGACTCCTCTATTGTAATCCTAATCCAAAATCAGCGTTTATTTGCAACTTATGGAATATAGGATTTCACAATACCATTCTTGTTACAGGTACAAAATTGGCGGCATACCTAATCTAGTCTAAGTACTTTAACCGAAAATGTTAAAACAGTTTCCCTAAACATAGAATAAAATAGCGTGGGAAAGAAACAACTGGACTGATCACGTGCTGTTAAAAAGAGACGGTATAAAACCATAGACATGGAGACTAAAATCGATGGACGTTCTGATGAAATTGAACTTAGCGCTCAAGGGACAAGCAAACTAGGGTGAGTGGAAACTAAATGCTTTACAAAACACTTAAGCGTACTCATTGACACTTATTAGGTATTTAATAAACTCCAAAACTGAAACTCACATTGTATATTTTGTCGTAAGAGATATCGTGCTTCGGCACTTTGGGGCCAGGTTATAGTTAGTTACAGTTATAGAGATACTTCATGTCTCCAACCAGAAATACTTATTATACTCGTATTTATCCAGCTCGTGCATTAAATTAACTAAATCTGTATTTTCTTCTCTTTACAGCGATGTAGCAACAAAATCAGATCTCCCCGAAAGAGGTTCCTGGGCTAGTAAATTGGATTTCATCCTATCTGTAGTCGGTTTAGCTATCGGACTTGGTAATGTGTGGCGGTTTCCCTACCTCTGCTACAAAAATGGTGGAGGGGCTTTCCTTATTCCTTATTTCCTTACGTTATTCCTTGCCGGTATACCAATGTTCTTCATGGAGCTTGCTATGGGACAAATGCTTACTATTGGCGGATTGGGCGTGTTCAATATAGCACCGATATTTAAAGGTAAATCTAAATTTTAATTCATTTTGAGAAGCCCTTTATTAAAAGTTACTAAAATTTAAGCCAAGAAATAAATAAAAAGAATTCTAACCAACAATAAAACGTGATAAAATTGAAATAGACTTGAGTTAACGATAAACCCCAAAATATTAATCAGAAGCTAGCTTAAGACGAATATAACAAAACAGTAATCTTTTAACAATTACTTTAAAATAATATTAAATGTAATTGCAAAACCTCTAAAAAGACATTTTGTGGTTGAATCTGACAATAGCACCCGTTGTCATAATCGGGGTTATTACTGACAAATGAAAAGAGGGTCCTGTACCTTTGTTTTAGAACACAATGGATTCCTACAATTTAGGGGTAGATTTCAAATCTTTAAACAGACCTTTGTTCCTGAAGTTTAACGTATCAATAACGTTTTTTTTTTTCTCATCGATGTAATAAATAAAATATTCATTTTGATTTCATTAAATGTGTTTTATACAGAACATTGCGAAGTTTGAAATTCAAGGTTTTCAAAACTTCGCAATAGTTGTTCCGATACTACTCTCTCGAAATTTTCATAAGTGTTTGTGGTTGTTTTCTATGTTAATTTTATAATCAAAACCTAGTCATGCCGTTCACTGTGCCTATTTGCTTCTTAGATGACACTGCTTCAGGTTCTTACATTATTGTCTAATTTGATGAATTTTAATGTAACAGAAAAAATATCAATTGAAACAAACACAAGCAGGAGAGTAGGTTCGCTTACTTACAGCCTTTTTGGTATTACCTATATTAGTAACTATTTAGAAAGTTTTGTATGATTTTACATTTAATTTTTTGGATACAATAGTAACTTTTAAATATACTAATAAATTGTACGTAAATCGTATAATAATTTTGCACAAGCTTTATTTCCTTAACGAAGCCGTATTTTGTGACATACTGCACATTTCCTAATCCTTTTTCGCAGGTATTGGTTATGCAGCTGCTGTGATGTCCTGCTGGATGAACGTTTACTACATTGTGATCCTCGCCTGGGCAATCTTCTACTTCTTTATGTCGATGAGATCAGGTAATGTTTTGTACAAACACATCGAAACCGCTTTTTCCTGCGGTGAGTGTTGTGGGTTCGATCCCCACATGTGGACAACACTTTGAGTGCTCCACAAATTATTGTTTTGAGTCTGGGTGTTCTTTTTGTGATTGTTTTATGAATGTTTGTAGTCACCCGCCACAGGATAGATATTTTTCACTACTAACCGTCATTTACTGCTTCCTCTCTTAGGTTTAAAGAAGTAGGTTTCCTCTTTCTGGTCTTATACTCTACGATTCATTTACGATTAATCTGGTCGGTAGGCAACTTATATTTTAATACCTGTCTTTACTTCGTTACAAAAGTCTTTGATGGTTATGTCTTATAATTCTTATCTTAGTGAAACGCATTTAATCATATAGTTCTGTTTTCCTTTGCAGACTTACCATGGCGCAGTTGCGATAACTACTGGAATACCAATTCGTGCGTTAATCCCTATGACAGAAAGAATTTAACGTGCTGGTCCATGACAGATATGACAACTTACTGCTCACTTAATGGCAAGAACATTAGCAAGGCTTTATTGTCTGACCCGGTTAAGGAATTCTGGGAGTAAGTATCAGTACAGAAACATCTATCGCGTTTCATTGTTGATGTTTGAAGATTTCTCGAAGTTATGTTTTGAAGTTTTACCAATTCCAGTATTTATGGTACATTCATCTGTAAGCTTTCTTTTTTGTTTATACCTAACCAGAATTGGTGTCCTACAAAGAACGATCTATTGAGGTTTTTATCCAATTTTTATTAATATTAAAAGAACAATTTGACACAGATTAGTCTAAAGTTTTAAAGTATTAAGTCTAATGCTTTTTTGAGAAGTTTTAAGTAGTCTAAAATATTTCTTGTAACATCTACTATCTATCAGTCAGTGCCGTGGAAATCAGTGTACCCGTTGCGGAGATAAGCAGAAATTAATCAATTTTAATATATTGGTATCGATTTATTCAGCCGGTTCCTGTTATAGTGTGTAGAATACATTGATACTAGTTAATTATTACATAGCAAGACCCGCACTGGGTAAGACGACCAAATATATTACAGACCAGTCCAAATATATAACCTTTTTTCAGACGCCGTGCTCTCCAAATTTCAAGTGGTATTGAAAACATCGGTAACATTCGCTGGGAACTGGCGGGTACCTTGCTCCTTGTGTGGGTTTTGTGCTATTTCTGTATATGGAAGGGTGTCAGGTGGACTGGGAAGGTTGTCTACTTCACTGCATTGTTCCCCTACTTCTTACTGACCGTGCTGCTTATTAGAGGTAAAATTTTATTGCAATTCTTTCTATGTTGCGTCCTACATATTTTATATTTTAATTTTTAAATACCACTTGATACAGTGGTCACATATTACTAGTTGTGGCGATTCCCACATACGAAGAAATAGAAACATACTACAGCGCCATCTAATGAAGACACACCGAACTACGGCGTAACTACTGAATGAGAATTGCTAATCCTGTATCGCGATATGAAGAATTCTCTCGCCGATTAGCATATATACAACTGCCGAACAACAACCGTTGGGCCGAGACCCACCAGGGTGATGATGAGGTGATCATGTCACCTCGCCTGATCGGAGGATCCTCCCTTTGTGTTGGAGGGACGTGACACCCGTTCCTCCACACTGGTTATCCTTCCATTTAGCTAAGATAAATGGATCACCCACCATAAGGATAGTCACTCATTTTTCATTTGGCAAAATTGCAATACTAACAGCTAAATTCTACTACCCAAGTGACGTCATAAGGAATTAGCAACATGGCGACCTAGCATTGTAACCGTGGAAATTTAAAATTGTAATGCCATCTATCGATTGAGTAAGATTTAGATTAAGTAATTTTTCTGGTTATTTAATTCAACTTTAAGGCAATTCCTATAATCAAATCAAGGACTTGAAGAAAGTGGTGTACTTACTATTGGAATTATTTATCCAGCTACGACTGCCGTCACTCATTTTATGTCAGCTATTTAAAAAGTAAAACCCTTAAGCGCAGTTGTTTTAAATTGCACTTGTTTTGTTTACAATCAGAGATTAACGAATCTTACACACTCGTGTTACCTATATACACAATGTATGTTAACTGTAACTGTTATTTTTGTTCGTAGGAATAACGCTGCCTGGTGCACTCCAAGGCATTAAATTTTATGTGATGCCGAACATGTCTAAGCTTTTGGAATCGGAAGTGTGGATTGATGCTGTTACTCAGATTTTCTTCTCCTACGGTCTGGGTCTGGGTACACTTGTGGCACTTGGCAGTTATAACAAGTTTACTAACAATGTATACAAGTGAGTTTGTTGTATTTATTCACTAATGACATATTTGGTACTTTGCCATTTTAGCATCGATTTTTAAAAGATCTGTGCAAAAAAAACAATTTCTTACAGATTTAGTTTTAGCAGTTCATGTTATAAGACTATTCAATGGAGTTGATTTTTTTACTTAGTATCATTTGGGTACCTATAATAACAGAACATTTTATTTACTTGCAGGGACGCGTTGATAGTATGTACGGTGAACTCAAGTACTTCCATGTTTGCTGGCTTTGTGATTTTTTCAGTTGTTGGGTTTATGGCGCATGAACAACAAAGGCCAGTTGCTGAAGTCGCTGCCTCAGGTATGGACGATTTAATTTATTTAATCTCAATTTTAAGGTTCTTATTGCAATGAACATTACCTAAACATTTAAATTCTTGTATCTCATGATTCACAGTACGCTTATATTTTTCATTACTTTTTACAGGTCCTGGTTTAGCCTTTTTAGCATATCCATCAGCAGTACTTCAACTACCAGGCGCTTCGCTATGGTCATGCCTCTTCTTCTTCATGTTACTTCTCATCGGTCTCGACAGCCAGTTTTGTACAATGGAAGGCTTCATCACTGCGGTTATTGATGAATGGCCCAAGCTTCTCAGGCGAAGGAAGGAAATATTTATTGCCATCACCTGCGTTATTTCCTATTTGGTGGGACTTTCGTGTATATCTGAGGCAAGTTTCCAATAATACTTTTCACACAGTAGTATTTTACCCCAAAGTTAGAGGCGAAATATTAGCTACTAAAGCAATTATACAATAATTGTAATCTAATAATTTTAGAAGCTGGTAACTTCACTCGGTCAACTCCTAAATCTATCTGGAAATATTCGATGGCCTGGCTGATACAGATAGATTAATTTGGCCGATTAATGATTTGGTAAAGAAAATAGAAAAAGGATTTAGTTTCACAGGTTTTCACGGAATATAGATTCATGAAAGCTAATAATCTATTTTAACGTTACCTACATATAATTTTAACATATTTATTGAACCTCCTTTTTAAGGAGTGGCCTATGTCCAGCAGTGGACTAGTATAGGCTGTTGATGATGATGATGATGATGACATATTAATTTTCTTACTCTGGTTTCGTGAATCTACACAAAAGTACATTTGGAAGTAGTTTCATAAAATGTTCAAATTCGATTCGATCGATTCGATTCGATGTTAGAAAAGTCATCTAAATATAACTTTTTTTCATGATCAAAAATAAAATAATTTGCTTTTTTCTAGGGCGGTATGTACATCTTCCAAATTCTCGACTCCTATGCAGTCTCCGGCTTCTGCTTATTATTCCTTATCTTCTTCGAATGCGTCTCCATATCATGGGCATTTGGTGTGAACCGATTCTACGACGGTATCAAAGAGATGATTGGTTACTATCCTACTATTTGGTGGAAGTTCTGCTGGGTTGGATTTACGCCTGCAATTTGTATTGTAAGTAATGACACGTCTCTTTAAACTATAACTAATTGATTTACAAGCAGAGTTTTTTTTATAAATATATTTTCTATTTTCAGAGCGTTTTTATCTTTAACTTGGTGCAATGGAAGCCAATCAAGTACATGAATTATTCATACCCTTGGTGGGCACATGCGTTCGGTTGGTTCACCGCACTTTCTTCGATGTTGTGCATCCCTGGATACATGGTCTACTTGTGGCGTGTTACTCCTGGTACATGGCGAGAGGTTAGTTCTATTTTGTTTGTGTTTATTATTCTTCTCAAAATTCCTCTAACATGTTACTTCAAGGTTATTTTACAAATATTAATCCAATGCAATATTTAACCCTGTCTACAGAAGTTCAACAAAATCGTCCGCATTCCTGAAGATGTACCGTCACTAAGGACGAAGATGCAGGCAGAGGAACAAGCCAAACACGCTCAGCCTTAAGATGAATGACTTCTACTTAACACCAGGATCTCAGTAAGACAATAATTGGGATTCATGAGTCTGTCTTGTTTGGTTGATGTTAATTTCAAATTACGCTCCTCTAATTTATCTGATCAATGAAAAACGTGTTATAATATTCATTTAAGCTTGAATGTGGTTTATTTTCTCTCTACTTTAATGCGGCACTTGAATAAAAGTACTAATATGATAGCATTTGAGGATTAAAATTAAAATTAAAAGGAATTAAAATCAACATATTGTTTGACAATTATCTTCAACCAGACAGGATTGGAATCAAATGGTGAAAAGATTTATGAATATATTCGAAACATCACGCACAACTATTTATACTAGTATATTACGTGGCCAAAATATAATATGCCAATATAATTATTATCAAGTTATATAAATGTCATTATTATTCAGATATATTTAACAATGTAGTCGTGTTTAAACTTGTGTATATTATACCTACTCAAATAAATAAAGATATTTATTAAATAATAATTATAATTAGAATAATTTGATGACTTTCCGTTTGCTGTGCGTCGCGACGCGTTCACGTACATTTTACTGGACGATTATTATTTAATATAATTATATTTAAAATTAAGAAAATGGTACATTTATTATAATGGTAGTATTAACTCGTCTTCCATGTAACTGATTTAGATTTTATTAATATTATACTTGAAGTTTATCTTTATATACATTTCATATTATCAACCGATATCTGATGATCTTGAAACTACGCAATTTCAAATAGTGATCAAATTAATTCCAAAGAAATGAAAAATAATAATAATACAACGAAGTTAGACTGTTCGTTTTGATAAACACTCGTTTCAGTGATAATTTCTAAGAAATTTTGTTTATCTTTAATTAGCTTTAATAAATAGATGATTATTTAAATATCCTTAAAGGACTTAAGTTGTAATGTGTAGACGATAGTATTGTAAGTGTTTAAAAGCGCCACGAGACGCGTGACATTCGAATCTAATGGTGTTTTGTTACAAAATAAGATTTTAATTTGTTATTCAGTTATGCATTTAATCTTATAAATGTAATAATTAATTTAATATAAATATTATGTTTTATGTAAAATATGTTTATTGATTTGGTTAATCAGCTTTAAAGTCAACATAATGTTTAAATACATTTTAATATTACATTTACTTTAGTTCTAATATTCAGATATTTTTCAGATCAGAATTTAAAATACCTATCTACTAATAACTTTCGTGTTCTAGCTGAGACCAAAAAAAACATTAGAACAACTTATAGATAAAAACTTTCAAATATATACTGTAGAATTTATACAAATAATTAAAATATTTATATTATTTTTGAGCCTACAAATTCTATATTAAAATATAATATTAAACTTTTTAGAATAACTTGTTGTTTCATCTTGAAAAAATATCAATCAATTTAAAAAAATCCAACCAAACATAAGTCCAATATTTATAATAGCGTGTTCAAAAATACATAACGTCAATTTTCATATTTTTTAGCAAATGTACTAAACACATTTATAAAAATATACATTTTTATAAAAATAAGACATTAAAAATAAGTAAAAAGTGTTTAATCAAGTTATAATTTAATTAAACTCTTAACTGTGTGTAGTGTTTGATTAAAATATATTAAATAAAATAAATGTAATTTAAATTACCTAGTATAAGATACTCGTAGCCAGATTTCGATGTTGTTATTAATTAATAATAAAATAAATTAAGTATATAAAGAAGAGTGCATGTTCATGAATGTTTTTGGATCAATTTATTGTACTTTGACATATAAATATTAGATACCAAGCCTAAAATAACTTGCCCCAAATTCATACAAAATTTATTAAAATATATGGATCTAATGAAAAACCAATTTCAATAAATTATATAAATAAAATAAATAAACAATAATCAAAATGCCAAAACGATGTATAATCTCAATATTATTTTATTATTTGTAAGATTATTAGATGTATTGTAATTTATTTTTATTAATTGTTATTTGTGTAGCGTAAGGAAAATGTGCTTTCGAATATTAAAAAAAGTATTATATAATTTAGATTCTAATTTTATCGATAACCAATGTACTTTACAAATATTATTTATCAAGTTATTTAATCATAATTTACTTTTTTGATAAGTTGACTGACAGACGATGTTTATTCTTTTACGTTTTATCGATTTATAACGAATTGTTTAACAAAGTTATAAAATAATCTACAAAGTTATAACTATAAATATTTATTTACAACCGAAACAATATTTTATTGTAAATTTATTATGTGACAAAAATACACTTTTATCATGTCTAATTAAATATAATTATATATAATGTTTCTAAAACATATAATCTAAATTATTATGTCTTCAACATATCTATTGTTGTTCAGATTTTAAAGTTTTAATCAAAAAATTATATATAAGTTATGTAACGTAGTTTTAGATCGTTTACAATATTTATTTAATTAAATAGTGGATACAAAAGTATAGTTTTATTGATTCCCTTGAACAATCATCAAAATGTTTATAATTATTAGTAATAAATTCCTTTCATATAATAACGGAACTTTGAAAAATAAAACACAATTGGGCTCTTGCAGAAGGGTTTTATCTGGTTTCTTTACGACCAACCCTACATGTTAATGTAATTGTTTTCATACTTGACAAAATAAAAAAGTAAATTAGGGTAAAGAAAACGGATAGTGCGATATCCCTTACCTTTGTTACCTGAAGGGTAATGGATTTGGCAAGACTTGAATAGGTAACTTGACAGTGAACTTGGAAATAACCAACCAAGAATCGATCACGGTACACCTTTTTTTTTTTTTTTTTTTTTTTTTTTTTTTTTTTTTTTTTTTTTCCGTGCGGAAATCCCCTCGGATACCACCTGTCGGTGGCATGTCGGACCCGAACCGACTAAAACCGCACGCCTTCGCCGGGTACTAATAGCCGGGGAACCAGGTATACCCTAGAAAGGAAGGCCCTGGTGCCCCGACATACCTCGGGTCATCTACAGACGAGTAGACGACCCCCGCCCCGTGTGGGAACCCCATGTTCCCTGTGCTCCCTGAAAGCGAGCGCGCTTCGCAACGCGCTCGCCGCCACCCCGGCCTGCTTCTGCTAGGGTGACAGATGGCCTCACCTGTCACCCCCAGGCCTGCGCTTATGGAGGACGGAGGTCGTTCTGCGACCTCCGGCGCCTGAGTCGCCTGCGCTGCCTGGCCCGTGCCCGGGCCTGGCGGGCCGGGAGAGTTCTAAACCTCTCCCGGTCCCGCTCCGCCGTCTCCTTCGCGAGCATAACTTGCTCGCAGAAGGAGACGGCAGAGTTCCACGCACTCTCGCTCCGCACGATCAGGCTATCGAGCGAGAGAACTCCCACTCCGATGGCCGCCACGAGGTCTCGCCTCTGCTCAACCCACGCCGGGCACTCTGCCAGCGTGTGGAGAGCCGTGTCCACGGTCTGGCCATCGCAGTGGTGGCACTCAGGCGTTGGCTCCTTGCGGATCAGACACAGGTGATCTCCGAAACATCCCTTCCCAGTGATCACCTGCGTCAATCGGTATGAGAGGGTCCCGTGACGCCTCTCGAGCCAATCCTCCATAACGGGTCTTACCGCCGCAATGACGGCGTGCCCGGATCACGGTACACCTAATTATTTTCTTTTTCTTTTACAACATTGACTGCATTCCACAAGTGACTAAGATACAAAATGATTTTTTCAAAATGTCATTGATTCTTTGCCGCTTCAAGCCATACCTATGATTCTCAGACATTTAATCGTGATTTATATGAACAATAACTGAATTAAAGAGAAATAAAAGATGATGGCTTTAAAATAATATAGTTTAATATATATCTACTAGATGGCACTAGTTGCTCAAGCCTTGCAAGTGGACATACACAATACGTATTGTAAAATTTATGTGATAAATAATAATAAAAAATATTTCTTACAAAAAAAAGTATAGAAATAAGCCTTAATCTGATGGATAAAGGCTTCTTTCGATATATCCTGCCTTGAAACTTGTCTTGAAATTCACGTCTCAAAACTTCTAAACGCAGCGCCTGACAAAAACAACTACACAAATAACAGCGCTACACAAGCAGAGACCTACACTTGTAAGACAAACAAAGGCTTTATAAGAATGCCAAGTAGATGGATCATTAATATCATTACCTAACATGATTTCTTAATGCGCCGTTCTAAACTGAAGGTGGACATAGCTCCAGTGGCGCCCTTAGCTTTTATGAGCCCCCGGGCAGATGTACCACTGCGAAGACTCGGGCATTTACCTACCAAGATCATTGCGAGGCCCTTGTCTTGTGGAATTTGTTATAATAATGATTCCTGGAACAATAAATGCAACGCAACACATACTGCTGCTCGAATATAAAAGCTTGGAGCTTGTCAAAGTGACAGGTGAAATGAAACACGGAGAAACCCTAAATCTGAATCAAGCGCGAGTAGCGGGTGGCGTAAGGCGTGAAATTTAACATTTTCAGTTTGTATTTTGGTTTGTGGCGGTTCAAACGATGACAATCCGATGGAATTACAATCTGTTTTATATTACACATTAAATCAAATAGAAAATACGAATATTTTAATTGGTAAAATCTATATCTATCTATCTATATCTATAAATGAGTTCATGTTAAATAACCTTTTAAAATTAATATGTTGTTATCTGAAGAATACTTTTTTGTTCCACTGGACGTAAGTATCATCGGTCATATTTTGTACTGTATTTGAATACATTACATGCCTATTACATTTCTAACTCAACACCTTCGTGTTGTTCTTGCAAAGAGATACAAAAGTGTTGTAACAATGTGTTTGTACAGACTGATGACATATTGTGTCCTAAGTATTTATTTGTAGATGCTCAAGCACAGACAGAATGCTATACAGAAACTGAAAGTGATTTCTTTGTGAATTACGGTTTTTTAGAAGAAGAAACGGCACGAATAATAATAATATAAGTGACAAAA